CCGGGTGAAAAGGAGGCTGGCAGCTCAAGCCAAAATCACAAGCATTGATTGCATCCATTGTTCATTGATTGCATCAGTGTGCGTTGATTGCATCATTGTGCATTGATTGCATCCATTGTTGCAGACTTTTCAAGGCAGAACATCTCATCCGCTCTTCCCACTACTGCTTGCATTCCACACACAACGGTGGAGCACAGGCCACGCAAATTTAGAGAGCATAGCAATGCGATCACGGGAAGTTCTGTCTAAAGAATGCACCAAAACAAAAGCCCCAACTTCCTGCAGATAGAATTCTAAAGTACGAGTTCGAGACCACCGGCCTCTCCAAGCTACCCAGGCCAAGTCTTCCGTCTGATGATAAAGGTAGGTGGCTCCGCTGCCGCGAAGCACACCTGGAGTAGCTCCGTGAGAGCTCTGTTTGACTGGAAGGCCCAGTCGCATCATCACAGCATTCCATTGCCTACGGAAAACACTCATGGACCCTGGATATCTTGGCATACCTGTTTGGAAACAAAACATTCCATATGCACGGAGAGCCATCACCAAAGCATGCACATCACTGGTCAGAACTGACCAATCAATTCGCAAATCATCCTCGCACCAGTCTTGAAACAGCTGAAGGCACTTGTCCATCCTTTGGGCAGTTGCGGGTGCGAAACCCACTTGCAAATCCAAAGGGCCGCGGGCATTGGGCCCGGGGTGAGGCTCAATATCACCAGCCAACAGAAGGAGGAATCTCAACCACCTCGCCGGATTCTTTTCAAACTTTGCTGAAGCACAAACTGCATCAAACAGTGTCGGATCGCCACGCTCCAACGCAAGAAACCAAGCAGGTTTTTCTCGAGAAGGGCCCCTAACTGAGCGATACCGAGTTGGGTCATCTGCTCGGTTGTCCTCAGAATAGCAGTGCAACAAACCTGGATAAAGACCTCCCCCTATCATATAGGCTACTGAACCCTTCAAGACCCTGGTCAAGGCATAGCTGCTGGACCTGCCCTTTGCAGCGGCGCCAATGGTGACGCGACTATCCAACATGCCTACAAACCTAGAATCAGGAGCGCTCTTAGCTAGGGATTTAATCCAGGATTTATAGGTGCGCATTCCATTCACATTTATGTGCCCTGGTCGTTTAAAGCGATACCTAAACTGCTCCCTAAAATGCAGAAATTCACAAAGTTCATGACGCCACTCCGGATTTTCAAACCACTGCCTCTGGGGAAAACACGGTTCATGATTTTGAGGAATGGTCGGCGAATCAGCCAAACCCACTTCATACAAGGATCTAACTTGCGCGGCAACAGGCATGCTTTCCACGATGCCAGCTCGAGCAGCCAATGATCCACTGGCCATCTGATGCACCACGCGCAGAGGATACGAGGCTGAGAAGGCAGCCACTGAGGTTCCTGGCTCAGGCAGCTGACCATACACCACTTTTGCGGACGGTTGGCATCTAGAGTTAAAGTCTTTCACACTCTCCAGTGTGAAGCTACCTTGTACAGTGAAATGGGACTGCTCTTTTGGGCATTGACAGCTGCACTCTAAAGGGATTAACCATGGTTTATTGTGCAACAATTTTGAAGCCTTCTGAAAAGCGCTACCAAAACAACACCAAGCAACATGCGAAATGACGCATCCCAACCGCACCAAATTCTGAAAGCAATGAAGCAAAAACAAACATGAGTTTCGTGGTTGCTCCACACTGATGAACTGGCCGGCTTTTGCTGCAAGAGTCAAAATGAGAGCGGCCCGACGAGCTAACATATTATGGTTGGAAGTAAGGGGATCATCAGGATTGAAACCATAGGGCCTGGTTTTAGATCTTACTCGAGGTTGACGCCAAGATCCAAAACTAACACAGGGCAATACTGCATGCCAGTCACGGACCACGCCGCGAGCAGCCAAACCCATGAGCTCAGCAAACACAGCTTTATCAGCCAGGTCGTCATACCGGAGTCTGCGGCCATCAATGTTGAAGCCGTCATGGCAGTGCAACCCTCTAGATTTGTGGACTAAGGTCCAGTTTCCAACACCTCTGAACAGTTCACAACAATCAAAGAGGATACCTTCCTTCAACTGCTGAGGAATGATTTTAGGGACCGATCTATGAGTGGAATACGGATCATGAGCATACATTTCATCTGACTCCGCTGGGACTCCAAGCTCGGCTAAGACTGCAGCTGCAGGGTCTTTGAGTCTGGTGTAAAAACCTCGTTGTTCGCTGTGATGCCACAGTTCGGCTGTGGCTGCTGGCTCAATCGGGGCCTGGCATACTGCCCCCCATGTGGGGGAGGCATCGGTCATGTAGATCTTATTGCTATATGTGGTTCTCAGATCTGACTGCGCTGTGGAACCTAGAGCAGCGAGCAGCAACAACTCGTTTCTGGACTGTCTGCTCAAGCAGAACGGTTGATTGGTCGGCAAACCCTTACCCTGCACCCAACAACCTAACATGACTGATAGAAGTTTTGGCGTGCAGGTGCCCCGCATTGCAATGACCACAGATAGCAGACTTGACACCAGAATGCGGTGCCTGGGCGCCATTACTCTACCAGCGACCCCATCGAAATCGGCCCCTAGAATGACCCCTTGAGTTTGGCCACGCTTCCGTTTCTTTTCGTGCAACACTAATCCCACACGTTCATATGCATTTGTGGCTTCACCAAAAACTTCAGTGTCCCGCAAAGCTGGATGTTCACGAAACATGGCAATGGGCAACCTCTGGATTCCTACATGATCGTCGATGGCAAGTAGCTCAACAAAATCGCTCCGGGGAATGGGACATCGATACTTCAGGACTTCGTGACTACGCATGGCGCTGCACAGAACCCTCAAAACGGTGGAATGAGCTGCCTGGGCAATTTCGACGGCTAGGTTGTCACCCATGGCCAAGGTTTTCAAACACAGAAGAAGGGGTTTACCTTCCAAGGACTGGTTAAAACAGCTGAAACCTCGAACATCATTGGCATGCAACTTTAACCGAAAAGCATTTCGATAAGCTCTAGCTTTGGAAACCCTGAAGGTGTAATAGTAATCCGAAAGATCATCTGCATTAAACCTGAACATGTCAGCGGGTTCCAACTGAAGCATGGTTAACAGGCATCCCGGGGCAAGCTCTTTGGTGGCGGAGGCAAGGGAATGCATGCGACTATTTATCACCTGGGGATTTACAATGAGCCGGTCGTTTTCTGCGTCTTTGGGAACACAAAATAATCCAACAGCTTCATCAAAGTCTTTCTCATCCGCAGGGATCAAACAACATGCCCCCAAATCATCCCACCTCCTGGCTAGCTTTAGGAATTCGGCTTTAGAGCAACGAACTTTAGCAGGTCGGCTTTTCGGCCAATCGGCTTTAGGTTTCCTCAGGACTTCAGGGTTTACAAAAGCTGACTTCAACAACGGGTCTTCTAAAAACTGTACTGCATCAAAGCTCGGCGGACATTTCCACTTCACGCGATCTGATCTGACTGGCATCGCACCGGTGGGATTGTCAAGGGTTGCGGACGCCGGGAACGAGTCAAACCTACATTGATGACCAGGCTCGTCTGCTGCAACATTTGCCGTACTTTGACCACGATCAAAATGTGATCGGTAAGGATCGAAAGTGGCTTCAACTTGCAACGCTAATTCGGTTAGGTCCTCAAACCCTAGCTTACACCAGGGTAGTTCCTGTATGGTTCTAATTACGCTCACAAACTTTTCCTTTGCCCTGCCCAGGTCATCACCGACAAAATCAGGCATGCGCATGAAATGGGCAACCAGTGACTCAAGTCGCTCAATCACTGTATGCTGCTGTGCGGAGATTGGTGCTCCTAGTTGAGCACACCCCGGAGGGCTTGCTGGAAAACCCAAAGACTCCCAATTTAAGCTACAGATCACAACATTCAAAAGCTGGTGCTGAGCATTCAGGAATCTGTGTCGGCGACGGCGCCTTGGGTTGAAGCGCTTGCAGCCCGTCCATCGCCACCTCACGGGGGGGACAGGCCATAAAGGGGTCGAGGACACCCTATCAACATTTGCAGGCTTTGGGGAGTCACACAAACTCGCCCGTATGAATGCACCAAGGCCAGTGGGAGCTGACCGGATACCTCTACATATTTGCAATACTAATTCAACAGAACAAAAAACTCGGTCAGAAGGGGAATTCAGCTTTGGCAGACAAAAATCTTCAGAACTATGAACAGGTGAGCCACGATCGACGTGATCGCTTGGCTGGAAAGGCTCGGCAAAGTCAGCAGTTGCAGTGTCGGCACTGCTGAGCTGGCTCACTCTGCGGTTTCGCCCCCTTGGGCGGACTGTGCTTTCCCCTTCCCTTTGCCTTTGACTCGAGGCTTTGGTTTGGGTCTGACCAAAACTTCCGAATCCTCTGAGGCTTGACCTTTCGGGTTCTTGCCGATGCTGTTCATGCGACCCTCTATGTAGTCCAGATCCTTGAGGTATGCCAAGTTTCCTGACACCCACGCTGGACTGCTCGGCCTGGAGAACGGTTCGAGGCCAGGTCGTTTGCGATGAGAAACAAAGAGATGCATTGGCGGATCTTGAAGGCCTGTCAGCAACCAAGCTAGCTGAGATCGGCCTGAGTCCAGGGCGCATTGTTCCACAAAAATCATCATGCGACCCAGAGTGCCGAGCATCTGCTCGTTCCCAGCCTCGTAGCCGACTGCCCAACCTTCGCTGATCAGACCAGCAAATTGAGCCAGGAGGCGATGATCTGCAAGAGGTATCCGCCTCTCCATGTACTTTCTCATCAAGTTCCCATCTTCCCGGTCTGAGCTCAGACCTAGTTCTCTCAAAGCTGCACGGCGAACTACTCTGGAAACTTCTGGCAAGTCCTGAATGGCATGAATGAAGGCTTCCCGGGCCAGGCATCCCTTTACTCCTCCGCCAGAGCTGCCTCCTCCGCTGTCCGAGCCGCTTGACCCCAACACCCTCATCACTGGGTCTTGCGGCTTGTTGCCGATCAACTTTTGCAGCAGTAGTTGATTCTGGCGCAACTGCGCCAGGACCATCTGTTGCATTGGATCCAGAGAGCTCTCGTTCAACTGGCCTTCTAGAGGTTTGAGGGCTAGGCTCACCTCGTCTTCGACGGCCTCCTTCTCGAGGTCTGCGTACAAGTTCTCCTGCAACTTTTGAACTGCGGGTGGATCTGGGCGACGTCTTTCGACGCCAGCAACTCGAGGGGGCGGACTGCCCGCTAGGCTCTGCAACCTGGCCCAATCTTGAGGCGTCAGCTGACTTGACTGAGCCCCCTGAAACAAGCCGGGTGCCTTGGGGGCTGGAGCCCCACTTTGAGCTTTTGGCTCGCACACAGAACGAAGAACACGAGGATTGGGCTGGTTTGCGTTCTGAAGAAGCCCTTCCAGCTGAATGATTCGAGCTTGCAGCTGGCTCACCACATCTGGCTCGGTCTGACCTGTGGGGGCTTCGGCCTGACCATCTGACTCCTCGCCCTCGGGCAACTCCTCCAAACTCAGGTACTCTTGAGCAGTGGCAGGATCCATCTCGTTGATCCAGGCTTCGGCTAAGGCATCTGAACTGGCTCGAGAAGGCCGACCGTTGGTGCCACGAAAGGAAAACCCGGTGACTTTGAACTGCGCCGCTAAACCTCCACGAAACTGCATGGCAGGGAAAAGCAGAGGTGCATAGGCCCATGGTAAGTCTACCAGTTCGGCATCTACTGTTCCAAGTTCTCTTCCTCTGGTGTTGACCAAGGTGACACTGCCTTGAAAGAAAACTGGGGGCTCGTCGACAACGTCTGCTGGCTGTAGGTCTAAAATTGGCTTGATGAACTAGCTCTTCGGTAGGCACCACTAGCATAAAGCCATTCTCCCTCATCCGCACCAGCCCAGCCCAAAAGAGATTTGGATCTGGAAGTTCTGCCCCCTTTATTGGCACATGCACGCCAGGGATGGAGGCCCCAGCGTCGGAACCGGCAAGGTCTTTGAGAGACTCCACGTTGAAAGCCGCCCTCACTGTCGGGGCTCTGGAGGCCATCCCGCCCGCGCTGCGTCACCCTTGGCTTGGCTGGCAAAGGCGTGAGGGGTGACTTCGTCGTGGGCGTGGATGGACCGGCCCTCAGTGAGCGAAGAGTCTGGTGCACTGTGAGAAGGAATGAGCTGATCGGCTGATCTGGCACAAGGGTGCCTAGCTGCAATGGTCAATTCAAGGTTGGCTGATCGTACTCACTGGCCCCGTCGGTATTCAGCTATGCGGTCGCGACTGTCGGAGCCGCTATGCAAAGGGACAGGAATCCAAAAATGGCAGGCCAGTTGAATCACTTGCAACACAAATCGTCTGACTCTCAAATTGAAAGCCAGGGATCCTAGGACAAATCCGCAAATGCAAGTGCAGCACGAGAGAGCCACCAAAGCCAGACAGATGAACCCCCAGGGACAGGAGGGTGATCCTGAGAGCCAGAATCTGGCTTCACGGATGGCGTCCAGCCAAGGAACCATCCGCACCTTGACCCGTGAAAGGCTGCGGCCATGGTTCAATCGGATCACTGCACTCAGGGATAAAAAGTCATATATAACTTGGGTCTATCCTAATACCTGTAACAGTGGATGATGATGGTTAGTAAAGGCCTTCATTTCTTCAAAAATGATGATGTGCTTGTTTACTGACTGTTGTAGGTAGGTTAGGACAGACCCAAACTATAGTAGCCACCACTGGCCCATCTTGAACACGATCTTGTCTTCCCCCCCCCCGACAGGACAGCAACAACCCAAAGACCGTTTAGCCGGGTCTCCCGAAGCCCTTCAGCCAAGCATAGGAGTGGGATGATGAACTCTTCCGCGCCATGGACGAAAACGGGCCGGCAAAGCACGTTGCATGTTGCAGCATGGAGTGAGGCCCACTCAGCATCTATCTGGAACAGTGGATCTAAACATATGCAGCTTGAGTGGAGCCAAGGATGACAAAAGCTCTATCAATGAGGGGGGGTCCCAAATTGACAGAACCCGCCCTCCAAGTGCATGTTCTTTGAAGGGGACTCTTCATCACATGTCATCACTGTTCTATCTCCAGTATATGTGCTCAACGCAAAAGAAACAAACAGGTGACCAAACACCACTGATGACCCATGCAGTCAATGAGCCATTCATTGAGCCACAACCGTTGGGCCTTCACACCCATGATGCTGGGAGTTGACACGGTGAAAACGTCTGTTCGGACGAAAGCTCGTTGCATGAAAAGACGTGGCTTCGGAAAAAAAGAAAAGACATTGTAGACGTTACACCCCCAAATAGATAGAAAAGTAGATCCCAACAAAAAAATGTCTTGGAAACCGTGCCACGGTCATCTCCTTGGGGACCACTATACTACTATACGTCAACATGGGTCGCACGGTGCCCCTGGGCGACGAGTTCTTCCAGGATCTGGATGACTTCAGATTACTTCGAATCAACAAAAGGACCGAAGCCTGCAGCCACAGGCCATCGATCGATCGAAACCAGAACCTCAAGGGTGAGCCGTCTTAAGGACACAGATAGGCCTCCAACCTGAGAGCGATGGCCTCCAACCTACTAGCGATCACCTCCCCCACGTCTTGGGGAAGAGAGGTCTGGCTGCAGGTGTCCTTGAAAACGACTCATACCAGTCTCTGAGGCTCCCGCACCAAGTGCTATGATCCACGGCGTCGCAGCGGATCGAACATCCTGAACTGGAGCGCAAAAGGAGCGCCGCACGGGCAAAAGGCAAAAAGCACCGCGCACGCTGCAACTCAACGCACAGCACGGCACTGGGCGATCTTTTCCAGATTTTGGCAAAGTCAAACAGAGTTGGCAACGTTTCCCATGCTTCTCAGTTTGCTATGGTCTGAAGGTCGACCTGAACGACTTTACCAATATCCATGCGAAGTCGCAATTCCCGACTGCTTGCAGTGTGGAGACCGGTGGCCCCAGAGCTCTCCAGAAAGCGCAAAACCTCCAATTGGCCATTCTGGGCCGCCCAATGAGCAGGGGTCCCTCCACGGTGGTCTGCCTTCTCCAAGTCGCACCCTGCGCTCTCCAGAAAACGCAAAACCTCCAAATGGCCATTCTCCGCCGCTAAGTAAGCAGGAGTCAATCCAAGGTGGTTTGTTTTATCCAAGTCGCACCCTGCGCTCTCCAGAAAATGCAAGACTTCCCAATGGCCATTCTGCGCTGCCCCATGAGCAGGAGTCGCTCCATTTTCGGCAGCAGTCTCAAGATCGTTGCTTCCAAGTTCTTGCAAGTCCTCCATGACCCGCACATGGCCCCCTCTGGCTGCGTAGTGCATTGCAGTTAGGCCGCCCTGCCAGGTGGCACCAGGAGATACGCCAAAGTCCGCGAGCGACTGGACCACAGAGACGTGACCCGCTTCTGCAGCTTGGCAGAGCGCCGCAGCACGCGCTTCTTCGTCTGAGTCATCAAGGAAGTGACCGATTTGTGAAGCCAAGCCAAGCCTGGCAGCCAACTCCAAGCGCCCGCCATGCGAACCGCTGATGATGGGAAATAGGGGAAGGGCACACCATGACAACATCAACTCGTTCATGATCGTCAGAATGAAGGTGACTGTGAAGGTCAACAGTGTCGCTAAACATATGATCTGCACAGCGGGCTTGCGTGACAAGACACACTCGCCTCCAAATTCTGCAGAAGAAACCAGAGCAAAGAGCCACAACGTGCAAAGAGCACTGAAGGTTCGTAGTGCAAGCAAGATTCTGGAGAAACGTCGCTGAGGTATCAAGTCTGTGGCATAGCAGCACCAGAAAGTGCTCAGAAAAGAGGCGATGATGCCAAGGAAGTTCTCCTTCTTGAAGAGTTCGTTCCATTTCATCTGCAATCCAAAGTTATTTGACTTGAAGAGCAATGCGATCATAAGAAATTCCGTTACCATGATAAATGGCAAGTATGGCTGTTGCAGTCCCTGACGCTTGGCGTCCGTGGGCCGGAGGCATACGCCCAGCAAGGCCCAAAACCCGATGCGTGAGAAAGTGTCGCACCAACGGAAGAGTGACAGAGCGATGCTTGGCAAAGTGCTCGGCTCCATTTGCCTGTCTTCAGGTTTGCAAAGCTCGTAAGCTTTCTTGATGCCCTCAGCCACGGTGAAAATCGAGAGACATATAGACCCAGATAGGATCCACGGATTTCCATTTGGACGGCTGACCAACAGAGCGTAGATCTGAAGGAGGCTCGATGGCGCTCCTTCGCAAAGTGCTGCCAGCACCTTCTCTTCTCGTAGCTCTCGTGTCATGCCACGTTTGAAGGCCTTGAAGGCTTCCAAGAGAGGTTGGACTTGCAGCACGTACATAACAAAGCTCCTCCACCCGGAAGGCAGCTCTCCGTGCAAATTCAGGCCTTCAACCCAATAGCCGGGGTTGGTCTCGACATCACAACGTTCCCAGCTTAGGTATCTGTGAACGAAGCTCAGGCATCCACTTCCAAGCCAAATGGCTGTCAAAAGAAGGCTGAAAATGTACATTCCGTCGGTGTAGTAGGTATAGGCCACATACACATCAGAAAGCATATCAGACAGCCAAAAAAAGGCCATCATTGCTACTTCTGCTCGAGCTAATAGGCTGGGTGTGCCGTCCGTTTGCTCTTGCGACTCTTCAGCGCCTTCTTCGCTTTCACCTTCAGACTGTTCAAGTTGCATGTAGGGAATGCTCTCACCACTCATCATGTATTTTATGAGCACCCATAAAGCTGCCAGCAAAGCGCCATCAAGCAGCACCACCACCAACACCGGCCAATTTGCACGGAGAGTGTCCATCAACAGCCCCATCATCCACTTGGTGGTGGCTTCTGCCTCCTGAATCATGCACGGCCCTGGAATCAGCTTCGGCCAACCCTCTGAAATCGACGCGTCTTCCACGCTGTTGAGCCTTCGAACAGCTCCGAAGTGTTGTGACACCTGCACGAAGTCAACGATGTCAACGAAGTAAAGCACCAGGATGGGGCTCGCAAGCGCAGCAACGAGCTTCGCCATCGGAGATCTCATTTTTTTTCGGAAATTTCTGTATCTTCTGCTTTCCGCGTGTGGGTTGCCCAGATCTTGGCTGACTCTAACTTGCGGGAGATTTCATTTAGGACGTTCTGCTCTGCGCATGTGAGTTGCCTGCTATAGACTCTATCTAGATAATTCTAGATGGCTCTTAAATCTGACTCTTTCTTGGAAGTGAGGGCTGCCTGAATTTGCAATGGCTTGGGATTCTGCACTTGGGATGCCAGAACGCTTCTGATCAGCCAGCGCACGGTGCAACAAAGAATGTGACTAACTGCAACTTGGAAGTTGCTCCACACACAACGTCCTGTGACATGAACCACCTTCTGTCTGAGATCCCCCCTGCCTTGGCCTTCAACTCCGGATGGCGGCCTCTGCACGGGCCGTTTCTGATCCGCTTGCAAAGCATGGAACGATGGCAAAAGATCCTATTTGCTCCGCACAAAGAAAGCTGCTCGTCCGTTGGAAAAGCAGGGGAGACTGTTGGATCCAACGCTCTCTGAAAGGAAACCCCGTTCATTGGTCGACCTTACGGCCCGTCTGACGGCCTTGGTTTTGCGGTCAAGCTGCAGCGAAGCAGTGAATCAGCACCCCACGACCCAAACCCAGAGCCACCTCAACAAAACCCAGAGCCACCCACAGCAGAATGGCAACTCAACACGCACTGCCCGAAGCTTCCGACGAAGCTTCCTCCAGCTGCACGCTGCCTCAAAACCAGGTCCCGAACAACACGAGAAGCCTCCGGGTGCTCCCTGGGTCCACCATGACCTGAGATGAGAGGGTCCTTTATACGCGCCATGGGCCATGGCGAACCATTTTCCACAAAGCAAAGAGAACACATCCAGGCCGTTTCTGATCCGCACAAAGAAAGCTGCTCGTCCGCTGTTCCAAGCGGGGGAGGGTGGATCAAACGCTCATCCTCATCCGGACACCGCTGCAGGCTGTGGCTGTTTGCATCGGAGTCTTATGAGACTGGCAGACTGGCCCATTTTCTGAGACTTCACTTGTATTCACTGCATTTTCCCATTAAAGGTGAACAAGACACCACACTGTCTCAGCTTCTCTCAGCTGGCATTGCACACTGTCTCAGCACATTTCTGTTGGTCGCTGTCTAATGGGTGGGGTTGCCTTTAGAACGTGCAGCAAGAGTGCCGCGAGAAGGTAGGACGATCGCTGGACTCGGCTGAGGAGGAGGGGAGAGGTGCTGTATTCAGTGTTTGGTCGAATCTGTTGATTTGGAGAAGGGTTGATGCCAGAGGTGTGGGGCGATTTGTATGCCAATGTGCGACCAGCAGCTGGTGGAAGGTTTTTTTGCAACTTGTTCCCACTCTGGAACCCATTGATGGCCACTTTTGGTCGAGATGCTGCAGCAACAACACCGCTCATCCAGCAGGATGCTGCGGCACACCTGTGACAAGGGAGGTTGGAACTGAATCAATGACAACATGTGTGGCCTTTGCGCGTCTGATCGTTGTTTTGGGAAGCTTTCCTCGATGTCCTTCAGCTGCTTTCTACCATCCTCCTTCTCAACATGCTTGGATTTGGGAGCACAGCCTAGTGGTACTTGGGGCCTCTACAAAGCAGGTTATAGACATTGCAAAGCAAAGCGTCCCGGACATTCTGACCTCCAAGTGGATCCTTCGATGTCATAATCTTCTGTGTTTCTTCTTTGAAGAAGCAGTGAAACCGAGCTGAGTTATATAAATCAGCACACATCAGAACCATGCAAGACATCTTCATTTATCGATCCACGCCATGCCTTCTTCACTCCGCTCCTCCTTTTCACTTATCCTCACTGTCAAATTCACTAAGTAAACGATTGACCAAAGGCGAAGGAAGCGCCCCAATTCCGACACTTGGTCAACGCCATGGTAAGTGGCTTTTCCGTTTTCCGGTAGCGGTTCATGATGGCCTCATGATGGCCCGTTCTCCTACGGCCGTCCCATGGCTTTTGCGGTCTTTAGCTTCGCGGCAGTGGTGAAGACACATGACCCCCCCTGCGGCTCAGACCCAGAGCCGAATGGCACCTCAACACCGAAGCTTCCTTCCGCTTGAAGCTTCCGCAGCTTCTTTTACCTCAGCTTGAAGCTCGCTGGGTCCCATCCAAAGCCACAAAAGCCACTTGAGAGACAGGTGGCGGTGGGTCGATGGCACCAGGGGAGGACCCTGGGTGTTTCCCACGAAAAAGGATATTATATATATCTATATATATATATATACACCCTGCGTACCCGACCTGACATGCTCCACCGACCCTGGTGAAAGGGGCGACCTCGGGTTTTGACTCACAACCATCTCCGGTCCGGTGGTTCTTTTGTAGGTTCTATCATGTGAGCCATCTCCAAATGAGGAATGGTCATAGAATCCAAAGGACATGGGTTTTGGGGGGGCCGCATGACCGACCGTGAATTTCATGGAGCCTTTCCCAGTGCTTTTTCGGTCCTCACTGGACCTACTACATCAGCTCAAAGCATCTCAAGACGCGTCTCAAGACTCAGCAACCCCTTGCTGAGACAACCTGTAACTCTCCACCGCCCATGTCGTCGACCATCTACACCCACCCACCCCTTTCTTCACCGGGCCGGTGCGTTTCTCCTTTTCTCTTCTTCGCCGGGTCGGCGCGCTTCGCAGCGCGCCGAGTCGGCGGCATCCTCGCCGGGCAGCGCGGTCGCTGGGCGGCTCACTGCGTGGCGTGCCGTCGCTGGGCGCGCCCGGGTCAGTTCGTCGCCTGCGCGGCGGTTGGCTGCGGGTAGCAGAGGCGGAAGGTTCCCAGCGAAACACGTGGTTGCTTCATATGGAACAGGTGAGGAATCAGAGAGTAGTTCATTATCTTGCATCCCCTAACTTCAGAAGCCCCCCAAGTCCGTCACCAACTTCTCCCGCTTCAGAAAGCATCCCTACCTCCAAAGCAAGGGCTCAAACAACTTGAGACTCTAAAGCTATTTGGGTGTGTATTTAAACAGGGAGACCTCTCCCAAAAACAAACATAAAACAAAGACCCAAATTACCCCCCCGAAAGCAGGGAAACTATATAGACCCTAGTTACTAGTCTACCAATCGGTTTGCGGGGTCTCCCCCCTCAAAAAGAATGCACACCCTATGGTGTCTTCTTCCCAACGCACCGAAAGCATCTGCCACCCCGCCGGCCTCACGCCGTCCGCTGGCGAGTGCACCGTGAACCGGTCGATCTGCAATCACTCTTCGTGCCAATCCTCAGGGTTCGGCAGAAGACCTGGGGTCCAAAGGGTTTTCTTGGTGTTTCCTGGGTCCAAAGGGGAGGATGTTCAAGAATTCTACATTCATGTAGGATCTGGACTCTATGTTCAAACCCACCCATATGAAGAGGTCTTTACCATCGGGAGATACTTTTTCATAGTCTACATGGTGTGGAGTTCTGTTGTTATGAGTTCATCACCTCAGAGGCTGCTCACTTTGGGGGTTCTTGAAGAAGGGGAAGTCGATAGATCTGTCCCTGGACCCGCTAGCTCACTCCTGGTCCTAGTCAGTTGCTCAAGACCAGCAAATCCAACTATCTTAGCAATGACCAACCTAAGAGTGATGGCCTCCAACCTACTTGCGATGGCCTCCAACCTAGAAGCAATTTCACAAGCCAAGTCCTTTCTCTTAGGGAACAATGCCCATCAGAAGTAGCCATGTCCAGTCCCAATCCCCATGCCGCTGATATTATGAAGGTTGAACTCATCTCTTGCCTTTCGCGTTCTTGATAATGATGATGTGTACCAGTCCTCGTCCAGGTGAGGTTCTCCCATCTTAGAAGATCTAGTCTATATCAGACACTTAAGTCACTCATCATCTTAGAAGATCTAGTCACTGTCCATGTTCTTTGGATGATCAGTGACTTAAGTCTCTGCAACCACTCCGGGGCCCCGCCACATGGGTGTCTCACCAACCTCTCGTCTGCCGACCAGCGGCCGGCGACCAGTCCACATGGATCTCGATGAAGCGACTGCCTCGGTACACGGTACGACCTGGTGGACTGTGGTGGCAGATGATCTTCCAATCCATAACTACCAGCCGGCCCAGCCAGCTTCGCATGAAAAATACGGGTGTTCACATACCAAAATACCCAGTGCCATGATGTGCCATGTGTCTTTTTGCCAAAGAAAAAGCCCAGGCTTTTCCAGTCTGGGCCCTACACAGGCCATCCACCGTCTGAATACTTCTGTCCACAACCGATGTGATGAACTTGGCAGACAATGACGAGTGGGGACCTACCCAGGGGACCTACCCAGGAGCTTCCTGGCCCACCATTCTTTTAAGGAATACCGATCCCAACCACCGTTTTACTAAGGATTTTACTCTAAGTCTACCAAGTCCTTCCTTGAAGAGATGGTCTTAGACGGACTCCCAGGGTATAGATACTAGTAGATACTGGTAGTTATGGTGTGTTGTTCCAGAACCATCGTCGATATCTTTTTGGTCCACTTTCACCAGCACATCCATCACTCATACTGACTGGTGCGACTGCGACTCGGAATGAGGGTCGCTGGATCCACGGAACATCTTCATGGCGAACATGGCCATCTTTGGTACAAAAGATGGCGAACCTGTGAATCTCTGAAGGCAGATCAGTTGATCAAGTAATGACAGTTGATCACAGTTCGCCATGTTTATCATTTGTCAACTGAAAGGCAGATCCAACTGCTGCTTCCAGAATTACCTGTAATGGCATGCCCCACTCGACCTCTAAAGGCCTTCATCGACCCCCGGACCGAGGCAGGACGTCCCCGGAAATCCGGGTCAGGACGTCCTCCGTCTGTTGCGGAAGGCCCAAAGCGAATCTACATCCTGAGACGCTTTGGACATCAGTTGGGATACCGAGACAGGTTGAAACCTGAGACGTTGTCAACCGTTTGTCCACAGCATTCCAACGCAATGAGACCCAAGTCTGAAAGCGAGGTATATAGCTCTTCCGGGCACGTCCCACACGGGCTGTTGCGGACCCACCGAAGAACAACTACGCGTCGAACCCGGTCGAAACCCGCCAGAACTTCCGAGTGGCCCAAGTAGCAGCGTTGCTTCTCGCGCCGGGCGCGGCACGCCTCCTCCGGAGGTCGAAGTGGACGAAGACCTGGAACCCCAGTCCCAACCAGAAATGAACCAACAACAACCAATTGTTTCCACCAACAACCAATTGGAACATCATAATGTCCAATTGTTTCGTGCTTCTTTGGGGATCCAGGTCTTCGTCCCATCCCGGGCCGATCGATGTGATGGGACGCACCTCACCTCACCTCCTAACTGACCTCACCTCCGAACGCTCCGCGCAGAGGAAACCCCCGAGCGAGCGTTCGACCGTCATCGGTCCACTGGGCCAGGCCATCATATGGACGCTCTGTTATTTTGGGGGTCGACCCGATGGTTTCCTCTACTGTTCTATCTATCTTGGGGGTCTATATCTAGATTCCCATATAACCAGGACTCCCTGCAATCTCTTTTCAGCTTGACCATGGCCTCTGTTTACGAAAAGGAACACGGTGTTGTCTTTGACCATTCAAATTGGCTATCTTCTACATGGACGTCCACTCCCAAAATCAACGCTTGTAGCGCAAGGAAAACAGTGAAGGGTTGGGTCTATCCTATTACCTATAACAGTGGATGATGATGATGGTTAAGTAAAGGCCTTGTTCAAAAATGATGATGTGCTTGTTTACTGACTGTTACAGCTAATAGGACAAACCCTGTGAAGGAATATGGAACATGGTCTAACCATGTCTAACCAAGTCCATGTCCTCCGTCGTCTCCGAAGAGTTCGGGGCAGGTTGAAACAGCGGTCCACCGCTTGAGACAGCCTTCGGTTGCTGCGCATGGGGCGCGCGCAGAGACCAGTTTCACCATCAGGGGGCCGTTCACAGGTTCCGGAACACACGGTGGAACAAGGGGGTCGCTCGGCGCATCATCCCCCCCTCCTTTGGAATCCGAACGAAGTATGGAGAAAGAAGTCAGAACCTTTGGACGATTTATTGGTCACGAATGAAATTGATAAGGTAGGATTCAAGGGAGACTCACTCAAATCTGTCTGCCTAAAACACTAAAACACGACTTGTCTGCCTCAATGCCATGAGATTCCACTGTCACCCCATGGAGATCAAGGGAAAACTCCGACAAAAAACAGGGCGGACGCTACTCCTCGTTCCGACCGCGCATGCGGACCACTCGTAGATCGGGCGAAGAACGACGCTCGTTTCCGACAGGCGAGTCGGGCAGCGCGCCTCCCAAGTTTCGAAGTAGACATAGGCATGTCCGGAAGGTAATTGATCTACCCTTCGCCTGGAAACGGCACCGGCAGATGAAAGAGCCCACTTTTGGAACAATCTGAGAAACAGTTCACGTCTCGTTCACAACCAGTTTGTTTGGGAAGCTTCATCTTCAACTAAATTCAATCATCCAGCAGTCACAAGACGGGGTACCGAACTTGGAGGATCGGGGTGCCCCTGTCACATCCACTCACTGGATGGGACGAGCCAAACCACCCCGTCGAACGTGACTCCTGGATTGAAGAATTAGAGCTGCCATGTTTGCTTTCTTAAAGAACAACAACTCTTGTGCAATCTGGCGCCGGGATCATCTCGGAATGCGACCAAAGGGGAAACGTGGATGGCGGTGTCAAAAGCAAAATCACATCGTCAAAACATGGTGTCATTCTGCCCTGACCATTTGACCCTATCTTGTGCTTTGTCTCAACACCATGCCCAGCTTGAGACAGAAATATCTAAGGGGCCAAGGATACCTGCCAAGACTTAAATGTGAAGACTGCCAAGTCTTCCTTTTGAAGTCCATGAACAAACTCCTGCATCACCGGCCATTCGTGTACACATGGGTACACAAAAGGGCTGCAAGCATCTGTAATGAAGCAGAAGAACTCAGAAGAAACGACAAAAAGGAACAACGAAGAACGCCTGGCCTGATGATTTCCACATCCTGCTTGACGTCAGGCTCCAATTCCACCTGTTGGAGTGCATCAGCTCACCCAACAATGCGGCAAGGTGGAATGGTCCCTCGACAAAAATAGGTGTTGTACCAGGACCCCCAGTCGGGGTGGTTCATGGATACCCCGAATGACAGCTGTTTGGGGCTATAAAGAGACACCCCGACAAGTGTCGGGTCCTGGTAAGTACCCGCCTTGGTATAGGATTTGGATGTTTTATCCCAGAACGTCCGTGACTTGACGAACATGAACTACCCCCAACCTAGAAGTCCATCCATCCATCCACGGTTGCAGGACCTCGGGGTAGGTTTCATCCTGTTCGTCCTATCTTCGCCCGCACTCTCCGGGGATCTGAGGGGGTAGAAGCGGAAACTCCACCCCCTCTGAAACGGACACCTGGCCAGACCTGCCAGGCCTTGAGGTTTCACACATCCCATTGTTCAGAGTCTCCGGTGGTTCTCCGAGGTGAGAAACGGCATCTGGTGCCGGCCGTTTGGAAGCTGCCGGTGCTGGTGCCGGGGCTCCAGCGCTCGCTTGGACAAGCTGGCTGCGCTCGATTGATATGGTGTTTCATGTCGATGACCCGCCCCAAAAAGATCACCTTGCATTTCGCTGCAAAAAGAAGGAAAGCCGGGAGAACATGCCAAGAAAAAAAGAATCCCCCAGGTGTGGGGCTTGAAGCAGTTCAGGAACATCAACCAATCACCCGAGTTGACCGCAATTCACCAGCTCACCGCCCCAGCCGTCACCGTTTCAGCCGTTTCCGCCGTTCGCCTCGGCCAGGTTGAAGCCGCCAAAGAAGTGACGAATCTCGTCCTGGAACGACCAGGACGTGTAGGTCCTATAGGTCTGCTCTGGTCGCAGGTCTGAACAGCTGGAAACAGGTGGAGACGACGAACCAGACGACGAACGTCTGACCCAAGTTTATCAAAATCCACCTTTCGTTGCCCAGGTGTCTCCCAAAAAAAAAAATCCTTGTCGAAGAATAGACACAACATCGAAGCATGGTGTGTAGGATTGTGCAGGTGTTTCAGTGCCAAAAATACCCATTCAGTCCCATTCAGTGCCATGGATGACTCCGGATTCGTCTTTGGAATCCTTCGAGGCGGTGAAGGGCAACCCGCGCAGTCGCACGCGGGGCGGCCACGTGGAAGCAGCGCGGGACGCGAGCGAGCTGAGAGCACGAGCGTGCCGCCCGAGGAAGGCGCCTGGCCGAAGTGGATGGTGGATGGATTTCAGGTGACAATGGAGCATTGGTTGTTTTGATGGAATATTCCTTGTCCTGAATGGATTCAAGTATGTTCTTAATGTGTTTCGCTCCCCGAGGCCCCGCCGGGTCGCCCCGTTCCGCTGCGGCTCGCCGGGTCGCCTCCTCCGGCGCGAAGGCATGGGCCGCGGCCGCCAGCGAGGCGCATGCAGGTCAGCGGGCCCACGTGCGCCGGCCGCGTGAAGGACGTGTGTCTCTGGTGTTTTGGGCGCTGGCAGGGAGACCAGACCTGGGAGACCTGATCCACGTGTGGAACAGCGATGCCTCTCCCCCCCGAGTCGTGTGAAACAGAGCCTGGTGAAGTTCACACCAGTTGCCAGTGACTGAAAAAGAGAAATTGGCTCGAGACTTGTGTCATTACCCCCGCACTGGCCGCCCATAACGGGAAGGCGTGGTGCCTTTTTCTATAGCGGGAAGTACACGGGAGAATGGTTTCCCAACTGTAACTACGCCATTCAATCCTTGAAAAATGCCTTTCACGGATCTTCATCAAGTTATAGTTACGTGCATCCCAATCATGATGGTGATAGACGGATCCGTCAGTTCTTCAGCGTCCGTTTGAGCCGCCCGTGGCGCGAACACCGCGCGCGACGTCAGAACTCACGACTGACTGTAGACATGAAGAAAACGTAACACTTAGGACTCAGGACATCCTTCTCCCAAACTCACTGACAGGTGGTGTGACTGACCAAAGTACCTCGACAGTCCTGGATCCATTCGCTGTAGACTCCATATCGATTATATAATCCAATAATATCCCCTATAGATCCCGATATTAGCTTTGGAGAATGCCCAACAACTTTCGCCTGATTAGCCAATCGTTGTATTTTGAGATTCGCTGGAGTGTCCACGATTCACTGATTCTTGCGAGAGACACCGGAGGATCCTTGGTCGTTTTGAGTGCCCGGCTGCCAGCTCCGCTCTCCGCTCCGCAACACTCCCCTGGCACCGTGGGAGATTGGCACGTGACTTGTTGGAGTGGATTTGCGGCTCACAGGAAGCCGGGGAAAAAGTATCAAAATCTTCCCCAGGTTTGGGGGATTGACCCAGTTGGAGAAGATTTTAGAAATCACTGGATCCGCCACCAGAAAGACATTGACACTGGAATTGGCGATTCCCGCCAACTGGGGCTGTTAGGAATCTGCGGTACCAACAGCATCCTGGTGTCCACCAAAGGATAAAGAAAAATTGCTGTCCATAGCATATGAAGCCCCCCAAGACATGTTGAATTGGACCGTGGAGGGTTGCGAATCTAGGTTTTAGATGATTTTAGGATGTTTTAGTGCCTATAGGCTACTTCAGGTCAGTGGTGTTGAACACCTGCAATCGCAAGTCCATCTGCTAAGGACCACACCTTGCACGCCTGCTCACGGCACCAAGGAGGATCGCAGGTCGCCTTCCCCCGCATCGCCCCCCTAAGCGGTTCCACCGAAATCCAGTTCCACTTCAGATCTCCCTCCCTCAACCCGCACCTCCCAGGCCTTGCAGAAGCTAATCAGCGGCGATGAAGCTCAGAGCTTCGAAGGCCTCTTCGGGCGACCATCGCATCAGCGAAAGGGGGGGCCACCGAGCATCACACAACGACAGGTTCCCATCCGGTTGCTCTTTTCGTGGTTTCTCCTTGGCCGCGGGTGAACAAGCAAATCAGGTGCCCATCAGGTGGTCTGTAGCAGCTGTTGGGTAAAGATCGAACCTGGGGGGCTGCCTATCTTACAGATTCAAAAGATTCAAAGTCCTTGTAACACTCAGATTTATCAAGGAACATGTTCATCCACTTGTGTTTCTTCCACTGGCAGGTCGAAAAGCAGCCGCGCCCCCCCCATGCAGAGAGGATCCTTTTCTGGCTCTGCCGCCGTGAGTCATGTGAGTCGAAAGCCGTATGGAATCGGTGCCCAGTTCACGTGCGGAATAGGCCTCAGATCCCCCGTCTGAAAGGCGCGTCCACGGTGTCTGACACCCCCGAAGCACCGTGGTGGGGGGTCAGAAAGTCCCTTCCAAACCCAGAAGCACTGGTCGGGTCGGTCTAGGAGTATGAGGAAAGTCCAGTGAAACCAGAAGGGACATAGACCGCCCATTGGTAGTTAATAGTTGGGGGGTCTCCTGCCTAGGATGGGGAGGTTGGATCGGAGTTGGGTGTGGGCACCAGGAGCTGCAAGGAGAAAACCAACACCAGGAGTTGCAACCTCCACTTTTTTTCTCAGATGTTCTTCCGTCTTGCAATGACCTGGTCTTTCTTGGAGTCTCAGACAGCATGTTCTGTGATGAACAAGCGCCAACCGAATTCCGTTTGGCAGGAGCTCTACAGCTCTTGTGTAAAAGACTATCAGTCACGCCATAGCGTCCATGTTGGGGGGGAGTCCCATCTGCCAGGTGTCTGACCGCCTTAAGCCGCAAGCTTTCTACTGACTTCAGTGGGCTTTGAGACTCATCCAGTGCTGAAAGTCCGATGAATCCACCATCCTCCATCACCTCCCGTGTGTGCCCCCCCCGAAACCACCGAGCTGCCCCCGGGGGGGGCGGTCTGCCGGCGGTTCCTCCGGCGGTTCATCCGGAGCCGAACTCGTGCTCCGTGTGGTGCCGATAGACTTCGCCCGGGCGGAGCCTCGGAGAGTGAGATCGCTCGAGCCCGTGAGTCAAGGGCTCATGTCTCCTAGGCTTCCTGGCCCACCATGAATTTCATAGGCGGGTCATCCCGAATCAACTAAGGATGTTACACTACAAAAACCAGGTCAAACGGAAGTCTAGGGCTGTTCGTTACGTGTCGGGACCCTGAAGGGACCAAGGGAGGGTCTAGCAGGAGCCCTGACCGAGGGTCAGTCTAGCATGGTCTATTTTCGGGAGGTCCATGTGTTCATTTCCAATATGGGAGTGCTCTAGATTTCATCCATGGTCTTTTGGAGGGAAATGACTTTTTATATATGGAAGTGGGTTTCCAGGGTGACAGCCCCCCCTGTTTGTAGAGGAAGATCCCTGATCTTCCGAAATCGAGACCATGCCCATGCCATCCACGATCTTCCATGTGAGTTCCAGGCAGTGTCGCTTTCCGCACCCCGCAGGGGTCCCTTTTCCACCCTGAATCTGTCAGCCCTTCGGACGACCTGGATCCATCTCTGAAGGGTCTGGCATGACCCGACCACGGACCGACCTAGAAACAGGTCCAATGACCCGATGGCAGGACCGACCGAAGGGGTTGGGACCCGGACGTGAGGGTCCCTGATTCGGAGGGACGCTGACCGACGCTGACCGTTCGCGCCATGGACCGCTTCTTCATGTCGGATGAAGGCCGGGGCTTGAGAAAAAGAAGGGGTCCATGGAGCTCCGGAAGAAGAGAGGCGGGGGGTGAAGATGGCACTACTAAGTCCGTGCGGCCGGGTGGACATCTCCGCTCAAGTGGACATGTCCCATGAAATATGGCCTCCTCCCTTTCAGATGGAACCAGCGGCCCGGCCGGTTTCCCATGAAGAATGCAGGTGTTCACATACCAAAAGTGATCAAAAACCATGTGGTGTTTCCCATCAAAATCATTGAAAGAAACACACATGCCACAAAAACATGCAAGATCAATGAATAATACAGGTAAAACCATGTTTCTTTGCCAGAGAAAACCGGGTGTTTATTCTCCATCATCGGCGACTTCCTCTCAGCGGAAGAATTGTTTTCTGGGACTTTCACTCCACACAAGGTACAGACTAACACGGCCCAGTCTCTGTAAACATGGAACTGCGTCTCAGGTTTTTGAACGTGGAACTGTCTCCCGGTTGAAGATGAACATGGAACTTGAAGAAAACATGAAAAATGGTTCCGCCCTGGTTTGTAGAGGATCCTCCTCTTTCAAAGGTCCACCCACCATGCGACGTCGAACCCGTGGGGTCTCTAGTCGGGAAAACACGGGCCGAGTCGGTCCAGCGAGGCACACCACGTTGCTGAAATGAGCACCGTTCACATTCACGGCCTGGGACACGGTTGGTCTGAGGGTTTGGTACCTGGAAAGGGGTGGAGTTGGTCCGCTGTGGGGGCGAATTCAAACATGGAAGCTACTGGAGTACGTTGCGATGAGGTTGGCTCACCGTTCATCGCAATGGATCAATTTGGCCATTCATTGGACCTACGTCCTACGAAGTCGGAAAAAGAAGAAACAGCACCGAATTTGAGGACCTGATGTAACAAATCTCATCCGGTTTCAAGGCACAAAGCTGTCCCTTTTAAGGGGTCTCCCCAAAAAAAATGCACCTTGATTCTGCTGGAAGATCCCTACGCAGAGCCAAACCGTCCTGTCGCTTCCTTCTTCTTTCGACCGCTGGAACCTCCGCGGAGCCAGACTGGCCGGTCCCGAGCTCGCTCGCCACAGTGATGTCTGGAGAGAAGTCCGAAGAAGTCCTGTAATGAGAAGTCCTGTTTCACCAAATAGTATCCAGTTTGACTATATACTTTTCCTCAGTGAAGTATAACAGGACATTCCTGAAATCAGGTATGTTTAACAGTTGTGACCATCCAGGTAGGAAGTTGCATCCAAATCGTCCACATTCTTCTCCTCTAAGTCGGTCGCGTTACACGAACGGTCCCACGTCCAACGTCCAGCCGTTGCAGGCCGTGGCCGTTGCGCCGGCAAACGTCCCGCTCCGCCGAGTGGCGTTGGGAAAGCACTGCGTCTCCAGGCAAAAGCCATGGTGCTTCTCGTAGCCCTGCCCCGTTCGACCTGCCACGTTCCGGGGCCACGGCTTTCGGCGCGGCTCGCGGCGCGGCGGTCGTTCGGAGGGCTGTTGGAGGAACGTGCAAAGGAACGCTTTCAGAGACCGTGGACGGAGGAAGAGCGCCTGGAAAGCCGTTGAGGTAGTTTCCGGTGTAGAACTGGACCTAGGCACACAACTCAGGCCATGGCAGCACACGAGGGGGGGGGCAGGAAGGTCACCAGGGTCAAAAAGCTCCGCGGTTGGCTTCACCGGCCGGGCATCCGCGCTCCAGGCTGGTCGGTCTTCACCGTCATCCAACGGCCGGAGCCACTGTGGGAGACCTCAGGCCGGTCGCTGTGGCCAAACCACCATGGAAGAGCTTCCAACCTAGAAGCAATGGCCTCCAACCTAATAGCGATGGCCTCCAACCCCAATAGCGATTCCAACCTGGAAGGAATGGCCTCCAACCTATAGAAGCAATGGCCTTCAACCGAATAGCCATGGCCTCCAACAACCATGCTAGCAGTGATTTCAATTGAAAACGTCGCTGGATAAAGGCGCTCGCAGCGTCAAACCAACCGATCGCTGTGGCATCTTGGGAACTTCCCAAACCAACCCTGCTAGCAGTGAGGTTCCATTGACGCCCTTGTTTCTTCCCACACATCTTAGATCTCCGTTGGGACTCACCAAAAGCCGCGTTGCAAACTTCTGGAGTTGTGGTGCTCCATGTTCCCAAAAAGAAGACAAGGGATCTGTGGTATCTAGTACCCGGACACTCCATGTATGGAATATTTACCAACAATTAACAATGACCCCTTTTCAACCACTCCGATATACCCCGATGTATGCAAATATGGCAGTCCTATTAGTTGTGTCTGGGGTGGTGCTGCACCATTTGACCAGCGGCGTGCGCCACAGCCTGCAGCTTGGAGGTCGGGTCGAATTTGCCCTGCAAGACGTAGTTATGGTCGTAGCCAAGGCCTCGAGAAGACCAAACCCAACTGCTCCTGACTTCCGAAGAAGCAACCTAGTGACGATGGCCTCCAACCCAGTAGCGATGGCCTCCAACCTAATAGCGATGGCGTCCAACCTAAAGTGGTTTCTTTTTGCGACTGTTTGCTGGTTGAACCTTTTATGCCTCACCGACTTATTGTTGGCTTGCTTGCTGGAGTTGATTTACATGGATGCACGTGGTGGGTCAAAAGCTGGATTGAGACCACGATTGACCTCCCAAGTCACCTGCCTTGGTCCTCATTTGTTGATTTTGCTTGGTGCCGGGGGTCGTTAGCAGCAGGCTCTTTTGGCCACCCGCAAGCTCTCAAAATAGTGGACCACTCAGCCCCCCACCGGAAACCATAAGAAAACCAATGAATCAATCCCTAGAGAAGTCAAAGACCTCATTATACTGCAGTTGGTCATACAAGTTCACACTACTCAAGGAGGTAGAAGGACCAGGTGTTGCTGGGTCAGACTGGACGAGCGCAGGGAATGCTTGTTCCGACATGGCAGGTGTCCACCTTCATGGCAGGTCGTCCACCATTTCCGGGCTCGGGCCGGAATCCCAGCTTGGGATGTCGTAGCATGCGATGTGCTGGGCAGGAATGGAAAAAACATCTCTGGTTGCATGCCCAATCCATGAAATAATAAAGGCTGCACGGACGGTCTCGTCTCCTTCCCCCCCAAGAAAAGGAGGATTCCAAGAGCTGAAAGGGACTGCTGGACTTCCTGCTGGACTTCCTTCCAGTCACTCCCCATGCCCGGTGTTCCAAGTGGCCGTTGTCGGCCTCTTTGATGCCCTTACCTCAGCGTCGATGTGAAGCATGATGCCACACAGGCGAATGTAATATATACGTACCAGGGGCCCCTAAAGGGTGGTTCATGGGCACCCCTTAACCTCTAAGTAAGAGGCTATTAGTAGACACCCCTTGGTGGTTGCACCCCTTAACCTCTAAGTAAGAGGCTATTATTAGACACCCTGGAGGGCCCTGGTAAAGATACCCTTTTTGGAGCCCTTTGAGCTTGGGAGTGCCTCAATCTTCTCTCACCACCTCTTTGGTGAAGGCTTCAAGTCTGCAGAAAGTGCCAGATGCGGCGCTTGGCTATTTTTCGTCGGATTCTAGGACCCCGTTCGACTTCCGTTCGACCATCAAAGAGATGGTTGACTCGGTTTTGTAGTGTAAAATCCTCAAGTAACACATAGCCAAACCAATGGTGCTTCGGGACGACCCCGCCTATTGATTCGTTGGGATGCTTGCTGGGCCTTGTTCAGGTGGACCGATGTGAAGGACAGTGCTCACAGGGCAGTGCTCACAGGCGCCCCCACCTGCCGGGTCTCCGCTGAAATGGACGGCCCGCACCTTCCGATGCTTTCTGCCAGAACGTCCGTGACGTGACGAACATGAACTAGCCCACCTGGAAGTCATAATCCACTACCAGGACCTCGGGGTAGTTCAATTTGAGTCATTTTCCTGGACTCTCAGGGTATCCTGTGGCCACATGGTAGACCTGATTTAGACTTGGTAGACCTGAGCGCATCATCTCGACTGCGTCGTCGACGTGGGCGTCGTCTACATAGACTCCCAGCTACCCGCAGCTTTCCTCCACCTAAAAGTTCCACCGTCTCGCGCCGTGCTTCGAAGCCTCATATACGCACCGTCACCTGTGTCCGAGGCGCCGATCTTCACGCTCTGTCGCAGATCCATCGCCCCCGTCACCGCGCGGACCTCGCCGGTCGGGATCGAGGTGTCGTCCACGGGCCTCGGGGGGGCGACATGCCGCGGCGCGCGGCGAGCTGCGCAGCTTTTTCGCGGCGTGGTGGGCAGCGTGACGAGCGTGACTCGCTTCCGGTCGAGCGTGTTTTTGAAGGGCCCTCCCAAGAAGCTGTGTCTATAGCCCGGACACTCCATGGGACTGCCATAGGACTGCCGATCCACCCCAACTGATCGCTATATATGGCAGTCCCATGGAGTGTCTGGGTAGCACCTGCTCCAAGAATGGTCTGACCCAGACGCCGCAGAAGCGCAGACTCATTCTTATTTGAAGTAAGAACCCCAAAGCACCTTCGCTCCCTGACGAGCAAGAAGGTATATCTATTCCATGTGTTGCCTTTCTCTTCTTCGATGGGACCCTAGCTCAGTTTTCTAGAAACCGGGACCATGGTTCCTACGTCGCAAAGCTATTCTTGTTACAGATGTTACATTAACATTTGGATTACATTTGGCTTCTGGCATCTCATTTGTGCTTGCTCTCCTTGGCCGGCCATCTTCAGAACGGTCGCTCGACTCGCCCCTGTCAACCGTCAAATCCTCTGTCTATCTCCGCACCGCATCGCCGTGCACATAAACCCCCTCCCCGCGTGGTCACCGAACCACCTGACCACCTGACCGCCAGGGCACGTGTAGAAATCTGCGAAGAGACTGATCCTCACAACGAAGCCACCGAAGCCCGGGCGCACCACCGGGGATCGACGTTGGGGATCGTTGGTCGTGGAGTCGTGGGGGTTGGCCCCCGAAAACGTGCCTGACCGAGCGACCCGTCTGAGCTCGGTCAGACAGGGACAGGGAGGTCCCCTTTCTCTTTTTTTCGGCGAGAAGACCAAAAGCCTTTCGAAAAGAATGATGGCACTGGATGGTTTCAGGGATTCTGAGACTGGATGCTGTCACTAAGACTTATCACTCCTGAGCTGAAAGCTTTGATTTCTACTCTTGCAGACCCCAAAAACACGCTAGACCCAAAGGGCCCCTCCTTGCCTATCCTTGGATTCACTGCAAAAACTAAACCCTTTGCCATTGGACATTACACCCAAGGGGTCTAACTTGGACTGTCAACCAGGGAGTCGAGCGCCCAGTTCATCGACCATGGTCACCATGGTCACCATGCTTTCCGAGCAGCTCATGGTCCAAAACGCTGGAGATGCCTCCATCAGCGAGGTTCCAATACGACTGGGCCAGCGGTGGGACTGGTCCGGATAGTCTTCACATCGGTCACACGGTTCCAATTCCACGTTCGCCAAGTTCAGACGAACGCGGAGCTTTCGCCGTGGTTCATGTTTTATCATGTGTGCACCTTTTCCCTTTCTTCTTGCCCCATCAGAGGAGTGCCAAACGAACCGTTTCAAAGCCGCTTCTGCTTCGATGCCCGAACGCCGCACTGTCGACACCAAAAAGCTTCCGTCCAGGTGGAGCTCGCGTGATCCCTGTGACATCCCTGCGATGTTCGTTTGACCCACTCGTCCCCCCATGAAAACCCCGTGAACTCGGTTGTCAGGTGACATGAATGACCAGGTCATATTCATAGACCCGCAATTTTGGGAGACAAGATTCAATGCTCCAAACCAAATCCGGTGTGTTCCAAAGCGATTCAATCGCGAAATCCAAGTTTACCCTAATTAAACCAATGTGAATCACGACTAGTTAACATCCACCCAAATGCCCCCCGCAAGCAGGCCAGCGATGACATGTTTCCGAGGAACATGGTTGGTGAGGTTCACGAGGGTTGGCCTCAGCTGGGCGATGTGCTGAGCGGTGCGGGTGTTGCTTGGCCCCTCATCTGCCGTGATCGACGCCTTGATCGCGAAGACGCCTTGCATTTCTTGCTACTAATGCTCTTGTTGCTAGTAGCTTTTTGTTCCTAGTACAAGTATGTACAAGTAGTAATGCCAGGAGCTACTAATTATATAGTAGCTTCTTGCCTTTGGGATTACATGAAAATCGACCACCTGGAGATGTCGCGTCCCAGATCAAGAACTTTTGGTTTCTACCGGCAGACCTGGCAACCATCGGATGTCCGCCTCAAAAAAACGCGGACTTGACGATGGTATTTGAGAGTCTGGAACTGGAACGTGGCCCCCCCCGGAGCACCCGTTCGATCTCTCTGGTGGTTTTTCACTTCGATGATGATTTCAAGGAGTGCACATAGGACTCCCAGCCCACTTGGGCGATGGACTGGTGCCTATGGTAATGACTTGCAGCCCAGTGGCGCATCGGTAGTGGCTTCATACTGGATCCGCAAGGTGCTCGAGGAGGGCAGGGAGTAGTGCACCCTGGTAGGCACGGTGCACACGACTTCTCTCACGGTCAGAGGCTTAGTTTGCATGCGTTTGAATGACCTGAGTCATAGCAAAATCACCGTGTTCCTCTTACAGCATCTACACGTTTCGCGAACCCAGCTGCTTGGTCTCCCCTAAAAACCTTTCGCGATAAAAACGGGTCAAGGAAATACATCGTCAGAGACTGTGAAGCGCTGGACATCTCAGAAGCCTCTGCGAGTTTCGCCGAATGAATCCCATTCCGATGGCGCGCTGCTGCGCACCGCGAGTTCGAATGCCGCACGGCGCAGCGCTGCGGACCGCGGACCGCGGAGCGCCGCGGAGCCCGCGCCTCGCAGTGACTTGCCCTGGATAGTTTTCATCGCCTTGCACCGGTCGGGGCGAGGGGGGTTCTGGGCGATTCCTTTGAGCGAACACCGTTCTTGGACCGTTTGGTGAACCTCCAAGAGGTACAGTAGCTGTATGTAATGGTGAGTTCAAACATCTTTGGCGTTGGATTCCTGGATCCATCGGTTTATAGAAGGACAACCCCGTTTGACGGCAAAACAAGGCAGCTGAGCATTTTCCTCTTGGTGAGCCACATAGTCTGAACCACGTTTGCTATCGTGCATGAAACTACCCGCAACGCAACCTCTGAGGAAAAACACTGTTCAAGTCCCTCCCTGGTCTTTTCAACTGCAACACCTGAACACCGGGCCCGTCATCCTCAACCCTCCGCGTGGCCGTCAGGTGAAATCAGCTTCAACGTGATGGCTGTGGCCTCTGAGTCCTCCAGGGAGCTCAGGCGGCGCCGGCGCCGGAGGGTCGGATTGAGGCCCACAACAACCTCACGTCGACAGGTCTTAGCCTCGTTCTTGATGGCATTTATTATGAGGAAAGCCTGGATGGCGAGTTTGGTCGTTCATTGTTCACCCCAGAAGTTCATCTAAATTGATTCTAGGTTTTGGCTTTTGCCCCATGCCATCACTTCAGTTTCAGTCGCGTTGTTGTAGTCCCCTTCGGCACTGATCCCCGCAAATTTCTTTGTGAACCTTTACATCTTAGCTGAACCATTGGGATTGCAACAATCAACCAATTGTGGCCCTTCGGCGCTTCTGGACTAGGTTGATGAATGACAAAGTCATGACAAATAATTACATATCGATCCTTGATGATTTGTCTTGATAGTCCTCTGTGTCCCCATCGTCTGGAAAAGCCCTGCGATTTTCCGGTAATAGTATTTTGCCTGGGCCCAGGACATAGCTGGTCCTCTTCGTCTTGTTTGTGTTCTTTGTCCTCGTCCTTGTGTCTGATATGCTGGTCTCAGCTCTGGGCTTCAACCCCTGATCATGCCCCAGAACTGTTCTATCTTTTGGTCTTCAGTTTCGACAATTGTCTTGTCGCAGCTTCGCCATACAAAAAGCCTTACTCTGAGACACGCGTGGCTGTCTCTTTCAGGCAAGCACATGACTGCCGGCATCACCACAGCCCCCGGAACCCTGCCAGCCCTCACAAGGCTTTAAGTATCATAAAACATTCTCGTGGCTCTCAGTTCTTCCACGAGTTGCCGTTGTTGTCCACGATCGCTTTAGCAGTCGTCGGGGACGGCCCACTTCCTGTCAGTTGGTCTTTCGGCTGATCTTAGATGGCTTCCAACCGTCTCTCTTTGCTGGTGACTCTTTGATCTCGAAGCTGCCTCTGATTCTGGATATCGATACCTTGCTGACAACATCCGTTTGGCCTTCGGCTGCCTTGTTGGCACATCCTCGATGGCTTCTTGAGCTGACACCTGTTAACCTGTAGGCATCGTGGTGGCGCTGCTCTCTTGAGAGCCATCTGCGTTTTGTGTGGGGAACAGGTGTCCACTGGAAGACGTACCTGGAGCGGCATGTGAGTACGCTCCACCTTTGCTTCCGACCTCGACATGATTGTCCCGATATACCAGCCACCGGGGGCCCGCTGTCGCTCATGATGTCCTAGGTAGGAGTGCCTTCACCAATCAGTCGGTGGCCCCGCACAGCTCGTAGCACCGCCGATAACATGCGTAGGCTGTGTAGATGTTACTATTACTACCAATGATGTTATCCTTGGATCTGCCGGACCATCAAATACAAAACCTCAGCACCTAAGTAGTGCGCCTTTTCTCACTTGAGCCAAATGGCAGCAAAGTAAGGCACGTACACATACAATATCTTACCGTACTGTGGCTCGCGGTGCTCGAAAAGTACATGTTCTGGGATCATGTGTCCACGCTCCACGCGGAACCGCCGGGGGCGCCTCCAGTGTCCACAGGAGCTTGTCAAAACCGATGTTGCCCCCCGTGAAGATGGTTGGGGCCTCTGAACTGGACCAAACGAGCAGAGCATCCGTGAACTGGGCAGATGATTGTCTATAGGTGTAGGCAGGGTGCGATGTGGGGTTCAGAACGGAACTGTATCAAGAATGTCCGGCTCTAAACCGTTGCGACGTGCAGAATCGTTTTATTCAACAAGCTAGTGTTTTTTCTGGCTGCTTGGCTGGGTTTGATGAATGAATCCGCAATCATTTGATTCCACGATGCTCTTTAGAGATCCATCAACAGATACAGTACGCTGAGACGCTGTCAAGGGGTTCAGGGCCCCAAATCCTTCCAGCTTGTAGACATTGCTTGAGGTAGTACTCCCAAGGGTCAAACAAAAAGCTTCGATGCGGCGCTTCTCGAAACTCTCGCGTGGATTCTTTCATGTTTGACACCTTGAAAGTCTCAACCCTCAGGAACTCTGGAACTCGCGTCTGGCCAAGCAGCCATTGTTGGTGGCCAACTGGTATTGCTTGCCATCCAGGTAGAACTTCCCTCGCGTTTTCGGCATGGCCAAGTCCAAAGGCATCAGCAAAAGGATGTAGATCGTCGAAAGTGAATGAGATCTAACAGTGCTGGACTCCACCAATGGATAGGAAACATCCACTACTTCAAGTTGGTATTGCATTCACTCATATGGCAGAAGCTCGGAATATCTGAATAAAAATATACTAACCCATTCAGCTGCCCTCCGCCTGCTGCAATGCGATTTGCACAGCGTCCGGCCACCTCACGGCAGCCCGGGCATTCTTCACGTGGCCAGGAGCGGGGGGGAGAAGATACGACTCAGTGGGCTGAAGGAAAAAAGTTTTAAAAAGAGCTGTATGTCTTGAGTATACTGCAGTGTGCATGTTTGTATATTTGAATATTACTTGCCTTAATTTTTGTTATATGTTTAAAACCCTCAACTGGGATTGGGATGCTCTCTACTTGAGGTGGTTCTCAGGGATTAATATTTCTCTTCAGCAGCCAGGAGAATCTACTTCCTCATAGGCCATAGATGGATTCTGTTTCCTTTGGACCTACTATATGCTATGACATACTGATATATACTGATATATGTGCAATATATTAATATATATTCTGTGTGTCTTTGCCACCTTCATTTACGGCGCCTTCCACCGCTGTTTTCCCCCTCGACGGATCCGACGTCCCGGTGGGTCCAGCGAGGTCGCCGCATCGGGCGCTCGGAGCCGGGGCGCTGCGCCGAAGTAAGGGTTCGTGGTCCAATCCAAATACCTCGGATCTCCGAGACCGGTCGCGGCGCGGCGGCGGAACCGAGCTAGCTCGACCGGCGTGGGGTTTTTCGGATGCGACGCCTCCGATCGCGGGATGCGCGGCGGTGGCGAGCTGCGGCGTGCTGTTTCACTCGTTTTTCACCGGCGGCCGTTTTTTTGGGGGGGGGTCGAGGTCACCGCTGGAAGGTGCTGCTTGGCCGCTGGGAAACGTGATGTTTGGGTTGCGCTGGTGTTCGACCTCCGCGCACCAGGATGGCACGACGTGGGATGGCAAGAGTCAGGACAGAGGCCTCCGATGGGTGAGGACAAAGACAAAGCTTGTGATGCCAAGAGGTCTTGAAAGAAACCATTGAACAAGAATGTCTAGCAGGGTCCAGCGAGACACATCCATTGTATACTTCCAAAGGCTCTCCAGGCGCAAGTTCTTGAACTTGAAAAACCTCCAGAAAGATGCCGAAACCATCCCCAATGTTCTTTCAGAGACCTCCAGTAGAGGCCTCCAGTAATTAAGGTATATCCTTCCGCAACAAAAGTCACCTGACCTGACGTCGTCGGATGGCGTCCTCTGTTCGTGGCCTGATTCAGTTGGGTCTGCGATCTCTGTTCCAACCAAATGTTCATGAGAGAATTCGTTTGAAACTTGTTTGAAAAAAGAAAAACCTCTTGGGACAAGTGGCCCAAGAGAGAGTTCACTGTTTTCAAAGCTTCGATTTCCTTCAGAATAAAAAACAAAGAAACATCCGCAAAATACCAAGAGAGGTTGAGAGGCCTGAACTAGGACCCTATAGTGGTACATCTCACATGGGCTATGGGTCTCTTCAACCTCTCTAGGTAGGCCTCGATGGGTCTTGCCCAGACACCTGTCCCCTGCGGAGCGACGCCAATCCTGCGGAGCCTTTTCCGGTGCATCTGCGGACCCGCCCCCCCCCCCCCGACAGACGAGCGAACAGAAGGGCGACCGCCCCCAACGACCATGGTTGACCAAAGTCAGTCTACCGGGCTCCAGGTGGTGTCACTTCTCCTCACTTCTCCTCACTTCTCCCGCTCCGATTGCATCTCGCGCCACGGCTTCAGCTCGTCGTAGCCCAGGCAGATCTCGCCCAGCTGGCCCTTCGCATCGGGCACCTTTCGCGGGTCCCGGCCCCGGGTGCCGGGAGGGTCTGCGGGCCATCCGGGCGATTGGCCATCGATCTATTGTGGGAAGGTTTGGGGGGTGAACATCGATGGCTCGACTCCCTATAGGTCTTGGATGGTTGGCTCTTTTTCCCGGTCATATGGCGCTCATGGCGCCAGGCAAGCTCAACGCCTATAAAGACGTTTGCAGAAAGCGGTCGCGCTTTCGCTCTCACATCTCAGCGAAAGATCCCGACGTCTTGCACCGACGGCACCGAGAAGCTCCTTCGACGCCCCTTGGTCAAATCGACGTGACACCGTGTGACCGACGAACGCATGTGGAGATGACATGCGACCGGAAGGGGCGGAAGAGGACGTTCCTTTACAAGGGGGGTGAACTCCACTTCTTGGGGTGCTTAGCAGTATACCCCACGTAAGATATCAATAGAAAATGAATCCAGTAGCCCACATGGTACCCAGGATTAATTTCTAAGGACCCACGCATGTGAACTCCACTTCTATGTTTTCTGTGTTCGTCACCCATCTTTCGCATCTCCTTGCCCCCCCCTGCTGTGCCTGCACGGAGCAGATGGTGGCTCCCAGATTCAGCACTGACACCTATGCAGATGCACAGGTGTAGCGGTGTAGCATTCTGCTAAGTGAGTTCTCCGACCACTTCAGGTAGCGTCAAAGCTGTTGCTTGGAGTTCTCCACTCTTGGGGATTCTGAGCTCATCCTTGCGACACCAAGAGCTTCGTTCATTTGGAACCGACCACTGTTGGATCTCATCTTCTCTCTGCACTTCCTACACCCCGATCGGAATCACCCATTGACTACCAGGCCCAAACTGCAAGCACACATGGAACTGTGCACGCACTTCTGCAAGCAGACCGCAATTGGGTAGAAGAACCAGCCTTTCAGGTGCCTTCACTCTTCACTTCCAACCCAAACGGTGGTCATTCGTCGGCCAAATGGCCTTCAAGGGCCCGTTTTGCATCGTGTACTTCATGACCACCGTGCCATCCTCCTTTCGCCCGAACTCCACAGCTTCCGCCATGGCGGAGGCTCCGTGCGCGCAAAAGCCGCAAAAACCGTTCATGCCAAGTCTTCCAATGATACGGGTACGTAGATGAGCAAAAGAAATTCAGCAGGACCCTTGCTCCGTACCTGTTAATTCTGTGTATGACATAGCTATAATAAATAACCGTCAATATTCAATTCCAAACCCAAAGAATGATCCAGAGGCCATGTTTCTTCAGATCACTGCGAGCTTTCATTTCAGTTCAGGAATGGCGATGCCATCTGAGGGGAATGCCACGTCACCACGTTGTCTTCATGCAGCTGCACATAGACTCGCCGATGGGTGCGCTCACTGCTGGGCCAGAAAAAGCCCATGACCAGACAAGTCCTTGCGGTCGCCCCAGCAAGCGAAGCACAAAGACCATCAAAGAGCATCAAAGAACCTAGTAGCGATGCCCTTTGCTCCTAGTAGCTTTAGCTTCTTGTTCCTAGTAGTAAGGCCAGGAGCCCCGTTCGTAGCGTCCTTGCTCCGTTCGTAGCGATGCCCTTTGCTACGTTCGTAGCTTCTTGTTCCGTTCGTAGCCACCCTTGCCTGGATTTCAGTGAACAGGGATCCCCTGCAGATCCAACGACCAAAACACGGTAAGCCTCATCCGACCGGGCACGGGACACCGCCCACGGACCGTCTACCAACTCAGCGCTGGGTGACCAGAGCTAATCATCCAAAGAAAGATCAAAATGGACCGAAGCCCAGGTTCCCTTAGTTGCTGGTATCTGGTTTACTCTGGCATCCACTCGAAATCTGCCAGATGTGTACTACGGTAGTAGCTTGCCTATCTGCCTGATTGCCTGGAAAAAAATAAAAAGAAGAAAACGGATTTAAAATAAAACATCCCAAACCATTTGGAAGGTCAGAAACCCGCCCCACTGGTTCCGCCGCGCCCCGGCCGGGGCCGCCGACCGCAGGTGACTTGCTGCTGCCCTGCCGTGGGGGGGGGGAGTCGCACCGGCCCACGGTGGAATGAGGTCGACAAGAGGTTCCGTCAAAGACAACAAGTTCACCAGCAGTCACATGACGGGGTGCTATCCATGGAGGTAGTGCCCCTGTCACATCCACTCACTGGATGGGGCCAGTTCAATAGTTAATTTAGTGTTTTAGATTGTCTATGTCTTTTTTGGAAAAAGAAAAGTGCATGGCTCTTTGGCACCCAAGAAAGCAAATCAGCGATATTGCAGCCTTGCTCTGCGCAGAGCGTCGTTCGTGGCAGGAGTTCTTTCGTTGAAAAGTGAAAAGAAATCATCACCACTGAGAAAGTCATGAACGTCGGAGCGCCCCTGGTCCAGGAAACCATGACGCTTTGCGGTTGACCACCACAAAATGAACAGAAGAGACACGCCCCCCGGGTGGCCCGGTCACCGGGTTTTGCTCGTGGAATCCGAGGAACATCGCCCTGCCATCGCGGCAGAGAGTTCGTGTCTTCCTTATTCCACCATTCCAAGCATCGCCTGTCCAGCGAAAAGTAGGTCCAACCCGGAGTCCACCCCTGACTGCGGTTCCCAGGAACCCTTCGAAAAAGAAAAGGATGGTCATATTCCACAGGTGTCGGGGGATTGAGCCATAGTGCGGGGAACCAAAAAAGAAGATTCACCCAAGATCCGCCGTTCAACCATGCCTTAGTTCCATCTACTTGCTGCGACTACCCTGGAAACCAGTCCGAAAATCCCCCCCACACGTGTCCAGCAGGATCGTCTCGCGCGGGTTCGTCTCGGGCTTCGCAGCGGTTTGGACGCTTTTTGGTTCACGAGGCGTCCCGCAGCAGGTCTCGCAGTGGGACCTGGTCAAGTGAATCGGTACCGGATGCGTCGACGGTTCTTCTGCGCTTGGGCTCTCAAGCATCGTGCGCTTGGGCTCATGGCATGCAGGAAAAAAAAAATATATATATATATATAAATGTTCTTATAAGTCAGGGAATGATCCTTTCAAAATCCCGATATCAATCTAACTACATGAGTTTCTTTTTAGTCTGTGCCACACCTTCGGCTTTGGTAGGTTGCGATAGGCTTCTGTCCAGTCACTTGGTGACGTCCTCTGCTCACCTGCGGCGGCCG